GCTCCACAGTATTAATATATTAGAAGCCCTTATCCTATTCTCTTTATGGTCCCTACACTAACTCTATATATACAGCATTAGGCTCATGGAAGAAGAGAACAATCCCACAACCTTGGGAAACACATCCAAATCGGAGACCAAAACCAGCAAGTGACCATACCACGACGACCAGGACGACGAGACGAAGAGATCGCCGTCGAGATCGCCGCCAGCCGCCGCCGCCACGCGCCGCCGGAAGGGAGCAGCTGCCGGAGCTTACTCGTGTGCGTGAGAGCGCGTAAACCGTTTGATATCTGATCGGTCAACGTCGTTGACTTCGCCGTGACGCCAGCTTTCTGGATTGGTCAAGTTTGTTCGATTCCGAGAAGATTTGATTTGCGGTCAACTGTTCGGGCCAGCGAGATCTACATAAATTTTAAGCAGTAAGTTTTCTTCATCAAACCTTTAGATCCGCTGCGAATAGGTCTATGTTGAATGTTTGTCCGTGATTTGTGCATATCGAGATCCTCATATGTCCCAACAGGCTTATCCTCTCATATGTATTCGTTTTATCCATTAACCCGGTATATTATAATATCCTATATCAAACATAATATAATAGTCTTTTCTTAATAAAAATTTTCTTTAATCTTTCATACCATTTGAAATAATTTTTTTATAACAAGAAAAAATTAATTGTAGATCAAGTATTACTAAGCATGAAATCTAAGTGAAGCTTAATTGTATATACTATATTTTATTTGCATTTTAAAATTCTCAAATTATATAGGATCAAAAGTTGGCATAAAATATATAAATAACACACATCTAATTTCATAATTCGGTTCTTAATTTCGGCTCTTCGGTTCAGTACGATATGTGATGGTTCGGTTCGATTTTCAGCACGGATATTTGTAATATCTCTAAAACCGTACCAATTATTGTTTCGGGTTGGAGAAAATCAAACGGTTAACGCTTATTTTTCAGTTCAGAGTGATTTCGGTTCGATTTTCGAAATGGTTCGAAATTCTCCGAATTGCATGCTCAGCCCTAGTCGAGGGTATGGGGAGAGGAAAGGGGATAGTTTAGTCTTGTATTCATGTTGCCACTGGTTCACATATAAAGGCCCATCAGTTTTTCTCGCAAGTATGACAGAGATGTTCACAAAAAAAAAAGGGAATAGATTAACACGACAAGATTAATAAGCCATAAATACTGGACATACTCTAAATAATCACGATCCACATCATGAAGAAGATGAATGGATAAAAGATAATACAAGACGAGCAAAAATAGATAAATTGTTCCTGAGCAGAAAAACAGAGTAATTAGGATAATTTGCTGCGAAATCATTGGTTATCGTTGGGAGTAAACCACATGGGTGCAGGCATAATCTTTTTTATTTTGTTGGTGTTCCGTGGACAAAAGTAATCAGAAAATGTTCTGGTCGCGCAATGATAAATGCCGATATCATGGCCCCCATAGATGGAGCCCGATGGAGGCTGATGTCTATTTGTGTCAGTAAATACAATCTTTTTCTAGGCCATGGTTGGTTGGTGTGGACATGGCAAACGAGTGGTTCTTGCCAATAAACATTGCCAGCCCATCCAGCGAACCCTCCACGCTAGTCTTAATAAGCTTGGGCTGAGTGCCGTCGCCCCCCGAAATATAGTCAACTTTAAAAACATCGAAAGAATAGGTTTGGTGGGGGAATTTGTCATCCCAACCCTTACACTTACCAAAGTAGATTTGCGGACTATAGGAACCGTCAAGGCCCATCCATAAGCATATCCAAGAGGAAAGCTGATTCATCTGCTCTGCCACCACAAGGAAATGTTGTTTCTTCACATTCAGATATCCCCTAGTGGTAAAAGAGAGGGCCATCGTCTCTTCTTCAGTAGCAACCCCAACCATATAATGTAAGGTCTCTGACCAACAAATCCTGGGGCACTCGAGGTCCTGAAGATCCCAACACTCCAATCTCCACATGACAAAACAAAAGAAGAGTTTGTGTGTGGTGGAATAGACGCAATCGGTGTACTGTCTGGCATAGAAGTCTTCGTCGTCGTCGTGGTGGGTGGCATTCCAATACAGTTTTTTACTCCAATACAAATGGCCGATGGGGGTCCAGTGGGTGCTGCGGCTGGGCTGACAGAAATCCAGTATAACACCCCGTTCATTTATGAATTATTTGGGTTTTATTTTGATTTATTATTATTATTAATTTCATTTATTATTATTATTATTATAAATATTATTATTATTATTATTATTATTATTATTATTATTATTATTAAATGACAATTTGCTATTATTTCTTGTTATTATTGATAATACTATTATTAATATTAATTGTCTAAATGTCATATTATAATTAAATAATAATGTATTATAAATATATGTGTATTTATCTAAATTTTTATTTTAATCATACGATTAAGTCGAGCCCGAGAACAAGTTGTTATCTCGAACCCGCATGTGAACCGAGCCCGAGAGCCTCAAACCCGCGCCCCGCACCTTTAGCCGACCTGGTTTCACTATTATGTGCGTGTGTGTGCGTGTGATCAATCTTGAGGGCCAGGAAATATCTAACCTAATAACATGTATATATGTATATATGTTTTAACCCTCAGCAACTCTTAAACCCGCTCAGACTTTGAGAAATCCCAAATCCCGCAGCCATCATCATAAACTACCATCTCCCTCAGCAGCAAGCACACGCAGACCCTAAGGGATTCTACCCTCTCTCTCAATTTCCCTACTGCCATCGTCACAATCACAACCATCACCATAATGGAGCATCACCTTCATCACTCTCCCTGCTCGCGAGACCAGAACCTGCAACTTCCGGCCACCCCGCTCACAACAAGCAGTGGACGTCGTCTCTGTGAACCGGCATCACCACCGCGGGCCTGCTACTCCGGTGAACCTCCCTCCCATCGCGAGAATTCCGGTAGTAGCGAGCAGGCCCTTGTCGCGGCACCACCCGCAACACCTCAAACCACTGCTTCTGGTCTCCAACCGTCAAGTCTCGTTCGCGATCGCTGGAAGTCGCACGTCACCAAGAAACGGCAGACACACGCCACTTCCACTGGCGGGTCAAGCACAAGCCGCGACCATCCCGGCGTGCTCTGTTCACCATCGCGAGACCCCAACAGAAAGAAGAGGTTTCTTCTTCCTTCATCATCACCCTCCGTCGGGTCGTAAGCTGCCACCGCAAGACTCCTCGTTTCAGTCGAGCACCACCAGCGAGTTTCCCGCTGTCCGTCGGTACCTCCGCAATCATTTTTCGACGTCCCTAGCGAGCCGGAGCAGCCCCGCAAGACAACGTAATTGCCACCCCCGCGAGCCGTTGACGTTGAGCCCGACGAGCGTGCTCCCGGCCTCCGAACAGCCCGTCTCGGCCATCGTTTTGATTGTCATCGCGTACTAATCTCGAAAATGGTACCGAAGCTCGATTACCCTCTTGTTTATATATGTGTTTCAAGCCTTGAAGTTATTTCCCTATTTTATGTAGGGATTTTATCGATTAATGTAAAATCGTACGAAATCCTATCAAATTTGTGTTAGGACTGTGGATTTTGGAACTAGGTCGAGTCCTTGGCTTCATGGCGAAGGCCTCGGATGAATTCGGTGTGTTTCGAGTCTTATATGATTTTTTGAAACCGAACTAGCTGCTAAAATGTATTAAATTCATCATAAATTGTATGCTGTTCCAGTTGCCATTAAATTCCATATGTGATGTCCTGTATTAATATTGCATGTTGTGTGAAAATTTCAGAATTTAATTCCATCTTTAGCTATTTTAATTAATTAAAGTGATTTCTGGACAGAATCGTATTAATTGGATGATAAATTGACTTGTGCTCCAAACTTGATGAAATTTTAGTATGTTGTCTTTCTATATGATTATGATGTTGTGCAAAATTTTCATAATTTTTATTCTGAGATTGATAGGGTAAATAATTTATTTAAGGTTTTTGTAGAAAGACATTTTTAATTATGATAAATTGGTCTTTCGCTCAATAATTCTGATATTTGGCTGAGATGCTTGTTTTATGTGGAGTGTCTTTTTTTTTTCCCGAAACGATAGGAGATATTATAGATCAAAAAGCAAAAGAGTGCAAATTACAACTCGAAGCCACAGCCACAAGCTGAATAAACTGAGAGGACTGGTCAGGAGACTGCCTAAATCCGACACTAGCAACGCTAGAATCCCAAAACAAGACAACAAAATAAACCAAAAAACTACTAAAATCCCAACAGGAGAATCGACTAGCTCCCAACAGGAGAATCAACAGAGGCGAACGGCCCCAACCAAAAACACAATCCTAAACAACAAAGACAAAACACAACAAGACATAAAAGACTAACCAACGACGACAACAAAAACAAAACGAGCCCTTCCAAAGGGGCAACACCTAACCAAACCGGCGGAATCAAGTCGACCGTGGGCCCCGCAGCTCGAAGCACCAATCCCGAAATTGCCAAAAACCACTCGGTTGCCTAACGGAATAGGAACCCCAACCCCGGACCGTCACCTAGCCAACCATCACCGCGGCCTTAACACCAAATGCATTCGAGCAAGAGAATGTCAAGGCCCAGCCCCGACCCCCGACCCGCTTGGAGACTGCCCAAAGCCCTCCGCACCACCGCAGCTCCACTCCGACCAACACCACTGGTAGAAGAAGAACAGACGCGACGGCCCCACCGACCCCGAACCGCGAACAGGGGGGAGACGCCCTTGAACAGCCGCACAGCCCCATCCACCCGACAAACTGCCGAGAAACTGAGCTCGTCCCTTCCCAAGAACCGCACCAAAGCTCCACCCCCACACATCGGAGAAACCATCAACCTTGAATCAAGGACCGCCGCCGGGAGAGACGAAGACCATCCTCGAAGGCTAGGGCTAGCTCCTGCACAAAAACAGAGGGATAGAGCGCAAAATAGAAGGAAGGGATCCAAGCAGCCAAGAGCCGGCAACCGCCGGCGGAGCTCGGAGGCCACAGAGGAAGGCAAGCAGGCGGCGATTCAAGCAAAGACGGCGAAGAGAATTGGGAACGAGGGTTTGAGAGAGAGAGAAAAATCGATTCAAGCAAATTGGTTAATTGAATTAACTTTTATGTGGAGTGTCATGCTGTAAAAATATTAGAATTTTTAGAGCTCAAATTGGTTTGGTTTTAATTAAAATTTGATAAACTGCTGACTCTTGTATGAATTCTCATAATTTGTGTATTTGATGTTAATTGCTGGAATTTGTATATGTTGATCCTTAATTGCTGAACTTGCTCTGGTGAAAATCGCATGTGTTAATTCGTTAGTTAGGTTAGGCTTTGAATTTTATGCTTGTTTTTGCTGATATCGTATTTGTATTTTATAAAATCATGTACTTTGAATTTGAGGCTGAAACTTAGTGGTTTTTCTAAGTAATTGGAGATGTATTTTTGGTTAAAATTTCAGAGTTCAACTCATGGGACAATTAGATCAACTTAATTTTGTGATTTGGCTAATAAATTAGAAATATGAATTTTGAATTAAAAACTGTAAGTTGGATCGCTTTTCGTTTCTTGTTGTTTGACTTGGTCAATCGTTAGTTTGACTTATGTGAACTGTCATGTATGTTTTGGTTGAGTGTAGTGTCGAGTCTAAGTGTTCCAACGTCCACAGGACTTCACGAATAACTTAGCCGAATCAAGTTCGACTAAGTCTGATTTGTCTTTGTCCGTTTAAGCCGAGATAGATATTGATTGTAGGAATCTTGACTTAATGTAGGTGCTTGAGGAGTTATGCCTCAACCTACATCCTTTCTGATTGTGCTATCGTCAATCCAGTATCCAGGTGGATTTACTTATAAAATTGTTTATGCCATACGTGTTGTTTATTGTTTAGTTGGTATGACCAATGTATGAATGTGAACCATGTGGCCTACCGATGTGAGTTGTTACGGCCATCGGTAAGGTTGTCCCCGTCGAGTTACGGTACGGTTGCCCTGTAACACCCCGCTTATCAGAGTAAATTTTTCGCAACTTATTTCGAAAATACTTATAAATTTTTCGAAACCTTCTTAACTCGGGATGCTACTAACTTATATACTTTAAAAAAAATCTGTTTACTTAAACTTTATCTAACAACTAAGTTAGACATAAATAAAACAGATTTTAAACATTGAACAATTATAAAAAAAAAAAAAAAAATTAACAGTTCATACAATCAACTTGATAAATCAACCTTTAAAATCACACTTAAAATCACACTTGTTCAAATCTTAAAGAAACGTAGCGGAAATCTTACAAGCGTGGTTTACAAATCGAAACATTATTGAAAATTCTCAATAGAAACTTATTCACATCCACGACCACCACAGCTCCTCACACCTGCGCACCGTCTTTAATTCCTGATAAAAAATGATAATAGTGGGGCGTGAGTACTAATCAACTGTACTCCGTAAAAACCCATACTAAAGTAAACAGTAATAATAATATTAATATCATGATCTTTGGTATGTATCTAAGCTTAATCTTTCGGTATCTAACTGATACTTTAACTTGAACTTTGCAACTACCGGTAACTTGGGCCGGTTCTCACGTGATCACATTCTGGGGGTCGCCTCCCACAGAACCCAGTCTTGACTGAGCGAACTTAATACTTTACTTAACTTTATACATACCTCGAACATGATAATAGCTATTATACTCAATGTAATACCCAGTCTGGGTCCCCACCTTTTCTTGTTGAAAACTTTTGAAAACTGTAAGTGCTGTACTGATAGCTGTATCTGCAACTACATAAAAATATAAACAAATATACTAAGTACTATGCTCATTATACTTACTAAAATACTCGGATACTCACATCTATCAGATAACTTATCCGAATATGAAAGAATACTCTAGTGATCATACTAAGTCTGGATTTAAATTGGTATACTTAAACTGAACCGAAACTTAATCATTTTCATACTCTTCAAACTTTCACATTAATTAATATAATGAGAAAAACTAAAATCATATGCTATAACTCAATTCACCTCATTTTAATCTTAACTTTAACATATGTATTCTCAACATATATATAAAGTTACCTTAAAAAATTTCACTTTAAAATAATATACATATCTTGAGATATATTATTTCAAAGTTGAACTATATCAAAACATTCAATTTACTTGTATACTTGTGTTTAAAAATCTATATCTCATGCTACAATTATCTAAAAATTCTAAAACTTTATATCTTAACTCTCAACTAAATGAAGAAATATTCTGTAAATTTTCTCATAAAAATAATAACCATAAAGTGAGATATGAATTTTCAAATAATGTTTGTCTTACTGAAATTCGAGATTTACTCACTTATGTTCATTATTTTCTATAGCATCTTAAACAAGTCCAATAAATATAAAATTTAAACTGGAAGTTTTTAACTAATATACGAATTGACCATAAAATTTCCAACTCAAAATAATATCAATAGATAGGGTAATTCAATACCACAAATCATCATTACTACACAGATTTTTCACTAGACAACACCTTAATAAAAGATTTTTATAAAATTCATTTTAACTCCGACTAATCTAAAAATTTCCAGTATTATTCTCAACATAACGATTATCTTATACAAAAATTTTCATAATTTTTGGAACTCAATAGCTTGGTCAAAAACAAACAAACATAGGCTGCAACATCATGAACTTTAAATAATCTTGTTTTATATACTTATATATATAAAAATTATAATTTCTTAACATAACAACATATTAATAACAC